TCTCCCCCCTTCTCCCCCCCCCCCCCCCTTGCGCACCCCACTCTCCCCCTTACCCCAAGAAATGCTTTCTTACTGAGAAGTGTAGGGTCCAGGGACCGGAGCCTGGTGGTAATGAGGGAACAGCCCTTCCTCCTTACACTTTTGGGTTTCTATTTGGGGTGGGCAGTCAGCAGCTGTCCTCTGGAGCTATTAAAATTCTCTGCCTTTTTAGTTTTTTGAAATGAGGCTGGGTGGGAGGAAACCTTTTAAAGACATCCACATTCTCAAAGCAGGCGCTGGCTACCTTTGGGATGTGAAGTATAATGCAGTTGCTGTGGAGCCCCAGGCAGACGGGCACCTTCTGAGCCTCCAGGATAGATCCTTTGCTCACCCTTCTAGATTGGCCCAGAGCCGTGCCTTCCTACCTTGGCTCCCCAAGTTGTGACGGACCAATTAGGTTAGGAGCTGTGCACAGTGAGAGGAGCCAAGTTTATGTTGTGGCTTTCATTTAGGGAATGAGTTGTGTCCTGATGTATGGATGCTTCCAATGCTTGATTAATGGAAACGGCTGGATGGGGGTGTAGAGTGGGCATAGGCTTGGTTAATCCCAAGTCTTGGCATTTATGTGTCACTCTTGCCTTTCACAGTAATCAAGATGATTACCAACTGGTTCGAAAACTTGGTCGGGGAAAGTATAGTGAAGTATTTGAGGCCATTAACATCACCAACAATGAGAGAGTGGTTGTAAAAATTCTCAAGGTGAGTGTCTTTTGAGTGACATTAAAATTTTTCCTCGCTGGTTAGGATATAAACTCCCCCACATTCTAGAATGAGCAGTGCAAACTCTGGTTTTACATCTGTTCTGTCTGATGTCCCTTCCCTACTCACTCTCCCACCCATTTTCCTGTGAACTTTGAAGAAAGTATGTGGACCTGTTTCAAACCCAAGGATGATAGTTCAGGAACATCTTTGTTCCAAAATGTCATTTTGGGCTCCCAAAGTGAGAATTCCAAAGGGGCTCCACTTGAAATAGGTATTCAGAAGAAAGAAAAGCTTTTTCGTAAAGAATCCATTGATCCAAGGGTTCCTTGAGCAGTGAGTTTGTTACCCTTGATGCTCGGATTACTCCACAAAGAAAGTTGGGAAAAATTAGAGCAGCTCCAAAGATGAGTTTGAAGCTGATGTCTTTTGGCAATGCACATTTGTCAGGTGGGGTGGATACAGTGAGTCAGTAGTGCCTGGAAGGTTCATTGTTGCTTATCAAATAGTAAAGGTGAAATTGGGAGCAGTAAAAGAGTGCATGCTAAAATTATAGTTGGAACAAAACAATCTTAGTGTCTGGTTTAGTAGCCTAAGTTGGATAAAGACCTTTTGTCGTCTCTTGGGTGAAGACATGATTTTAATGAGCATGAGGAGTGGCTAAATTCTTTTTCAGATAACTGGTTAGATAGTTTTAATAATGTTTTATAGAGTGTAGTAAAAAAGCCTTAGATTCTGTAGAGGGTCCTCATCATTGCCAGATCATTTAATGTGTTGCACGTCATTTAGCAAAAGACTGAAAAGAATGATTAATACAAGCACTTTTGCATATACAAGATTTCCAATGTGGCCATTTTGCAGCTGTGAATAAGGACATGGGATTGAAAAGCTGTTTTTGTGTCTTAAGGCCAGAGTTAGGGCAGCTGTGTCCCTGTTTAGCATGAGGGGTCAGACTTACATGGTCTGAAAATCCCTTTTCAGGAAAGTGATCAGCTCTGTTTCTCAGTACCATCTGAGCCTAATGATGAAGAGGCAGAGTTGTAGTAGAGAGAAGTAGGGAAAGTTATCTGTGCCATCAGAAACGCTATGGGTGAGAAGTGAGGAATTGATACTGAAGATGTGGAGTTTGACTCCCCTCTTCCCCAAATATGAATTGGACCTGAAAAGCCACGTGGTCTTTCTTACTATTTTTTTTTCCTTCCTTTACAAGCATAAATATTTAAAGAAATGTTCCCTTCAAAGAAGTTGCCTGGGAGGCCATACACTTTTTTCCTTTATGCATAAGCATAAATGTTTTTAATATAAGCTGCTTAAAGTCTTTCCGGGAAGTAAGCAAGGAATTAGGAATATTCCTCTGCTGTGCCTTTGGAAGAATGAACTGACTCCAGAACGTGCGATAGTATTTTTAGAATAAGTGTGTAACTTCCTGTGGTGTCTTTTTCGAAGGAATGGCCTTTAGGTAAATATAAAAGTGGCAGTGCGTTCATGCGAGAGAGAATCACATTACTCTTGAGTCGTCCTTCTACAGAACTTCATAGCATCGGTTGCTGGAGAGTTTTTCCTCTAAAGATTCACAGGATATGTTTAGGGAACCCAATATGTAAGGTGAAGGTTATTTTTACAGACAAGAAAACTTGCCTGCTACCACGATGTTGAAATGACCCTTAGCCAGAACTCTTTCCTATTTTTCTCCTCATTTTAGTGTTGGTTGGTAAGATCTTAATGTTGAGCACAGAATAAGTTCCAGTGTTTGGGAATAAGATTTGGGAGGCTCCTTTGATGCTCTAGCTAATGAAGTATTTCTTGTATCTTTTCCATACAAGTTCTTTTCAGGGTGCAGCCTGAACTACCTCTTTCCCACTGGTGCCTACGACACCCAGTTCTTTCTTTTTTTTCAAATCCCTGTGGCGTTTCTATCCAGATTTTGTTCTATCTGAAGGATGGGGTAAGAAACTACTAATTGTACTGTGGTTTTCTTGTTTTCACAGGCCGAATTAAAGTAGATTAAAAGTATTGTGTTTTAAAAAGAACAAGGTCTTTATCCAAAGTGGTGCACCCCTATTCCGATAAGTTATGACTGATAATCTGCTGTTACGGTGTTTGGTCATCGGAAATTAGGTTCTGGACAGAGTGCCAGCTGCTCATAATTTGGAGGAATCTAGAAAAGCTTGCGCTTCATGAAAGGCCTACTCTATTTCAGCTGCAGGAAGGAACTTATAAGTGTACACGCAGTGACTGAGATACAGGGTACTTTCCCTGAGGACGGGGCTGTCTTCCTTTTTGGTTGATAACATTTTCCTTCAGTTCTGTCCAACATATGAGAATGGTCAGATGAACGACCACAGAGGAATTCTACCGTTTAATTTGCATTGGTAGATTCTTTCGTAGTTTTTGATCAAAACATATTGGAGCTCTTAAGAGGTTTTAGGAATTTAGAAGTTGGTGAGCAAAATTTTACTGTCTATCTTGAAGTGAAATTCTGAGGTTGAAATCTTAAAACGCTCCAATCAACAGGCGGGTAAATGTTTTTTGACAGAAATTGTTTTGAGGGGAAGGGAGGAGGGTGGATGGAAGAGTTAACATAGAAGGGTAAGAAAGGCACTTCAGTGCTGACAGTTTCATCTTCTGATTCTGAGAAACCCATTTCTCCGTTCATTTGTAGGACCTCTTAGGAAGGTATACACAGAAATAAAAGCATTTGGCCCTTTTGAACAGCTTGTAGCATTTTGTGAGCACCACCTGTGTATGGATTTCAGCCCTTCTTGGGATCCTTCAAAATAAAACTATTTCGTAAATAGAAGTTAAGAGCAATACCAGTTGTAAACAAACGCGGCGTTTTGAACTCATGCTGTACTCAGTTGGAAATTCTTGTAGAAGAGAGTAAGTTGGCAGTTTCTTGATGGTCTTAGTTACGAAGAGGGGCAAATCCATTTTTTCCCCAGAGGTTAATCCTCAAGATTAAAACAATGATGGTAACGCAAATTTATCTTTGAAGTGTTCTTAGTGTATTTGTAGACGTTGTGAAACTTGTGTGCTGTGAGGAGGTAGTGTTAAAGCAAGGATGGGAGGGCTGTCCCTGACACATCTTGTTGGTTACTTCATTACGAGCGGGTGACTGTGTGGGTTACATGGAAGTGCTGTCTGCTCCATGCTGGTGCCCAGCTTTCTCTTTTGTTTCTGCTTTCTCTGCTGGTAGGTTTCACCCTCCATGTCCTTTGTTAGGCAAATGTACCAAGACATCATCTTCCTGAAGCAGGACATTGGTATTAGTTTATCTAAGGTTGTGATTTTTGAGTCCCACCAATGTCATGGTGTAAAAGTAGTTAAAACAATATTATTAAAATGGTACTAAACCCCAGAAATAATATACATTTTAAAAATGATGTGAACTAATCTGTACTGTTCCTAACGAGGTTGTAGGGTCAGGGATTGAATTTGCAGTGAAACAGAATCATGAAATGTGGGAGCAGAGAAACCTTAGAACCCAAACCCTTTTGAGAGAGAAACTGAGACCCGGAGAGAGCATGAAGTTTGCTCAGGGTCACAGTGTGGAGCGCTAGGGTCCTCTGTTCCTGTCATGGAGTCTTGTAGATGTGAGGAGCAGTTAGTACAGTGGCTAATTACTTCTTGATGTGTTGAACTGTCCTGGAAGGATGGATGGACACTCACTAAAAGTCAGGTGTGGTTTCTAATGATTTGGGGGAGTTATTCCTCTGGAAGGAAATGCTAGACTTTGATGGGTTGCTGGATGGAGTGTGGAATAGCCCAGAGAGCTTTGGGACCCGGACAGGGGTTCTCTGGTTTGTAACTGCAGCTGGGTGTTTGATGCGTAACTGAAATGTTACTTTGCTCTCTTGGTTGGAAGCCACAATAATCAGTGTTTTTACACATTTTTAACCCCTACAGTTCCAGGTCTCATCATGACGACTTGCCAGGTTAGGGGGCCACCAGCTTTATCCCTCTAATACATTGGGGTTTATTGGAGGGTGAGCCGTGTGTAAAAAGAATATCTTGTTATAGAGTACCCATTTGCATGTGTAGAGCGTGGCTCTGGATAGTTTCTAGAGCCTGATTTTAGGATCTGCCACCTTATGATCAGGGTGGTATAGTGTTAAGTGCTGCGTAAATGAAGGTCAGAAGACTTGGATTCTAGAACCAGCTTCTTCGTTTATACCCACTTGACTCTGTTTTCTTATCTATAAGATGGATATACCTTTCTTGTATAAATCACAGTGTTCTTGGGAGAATTAAATGAGATATGGATAGGTGGGTAGGTAGACAGCAGTGGTTTAGTAATCTGCAAAGTGCTTCTTTCCTGAAAGTGGCCCTGGGAGTAGACTACCTGCATTCAGATACTCGTTCCCGACACTCAGATGCTCTGTGACCTTGAGCAGTTATTCAGACTCTGCCTCAGTGTCTTCATGTAAAATTGCACCAGTAGTTCTCATCTCAGGATACTACTAAAAGTGGATTAAATGTGCTTAAAACAGTGCCTGGCACTTAGCAATAAAGTATAGGTCCAATAATAATATTTCACGTGAGCCGCATGAATGATTTCGAAGGGCAAAATCAAAAGTAGGAAGGACTATACCAGTCTCTTGGTGAGATTCAAAAGGCCTGCTGTATGCCTTGCTTTTTTAAATCGACAAAAACAAAAATCCTGAGAATAAACAGTCTTGGGGAATCGATAATGGAAAGGTGGGACTTGAAAGATGAAAGGAAGAATTGCTGTGAAGAAACAACGTTGCTCAGATGCTGTTTATATTTGGGTCAATTGCAGTGGATTTGAGAGATGCTCCCAAGGTAGTAAAATAAATGCTGTCATCTGGGCTGCACTTTCTTCCTTACCCTGCCCTGCATCCCTGGCAACCGTTGTTCATTGTGATTGTTTATTGAGGGTGGTGAAATTAATAGCTAAGTTGTGGCTGTGGCACTGGAATAAAAGTAATTCCAGATTTGAAAGTGCTGAGCTATCTTTTCACCTGTCTTGAATTTATTAATTCAGTTGTGCCTAGAAAGAAATTAAAATGGGACTTTGCCTGTTGACATTTGCTGGGATTTTTCGAGGTCCTAATTCTTAGGCCCTTTGTATGTGTTATTTTGCAAATTGAATCACTGTCAGGTGCTAGTAGTTGAAATCATGCTCAGATCTGACTTTTTAAAAATCAGCTTTGCTAAATAGGATAGATTACTGACTTTATTAACTTTTGACTTTCCAAGCGGCTCATCACTAAATTTGTCTTTTAAGTTTCTCAAGTTGGTCAATAGAGAGAAGTATCTTACTCTTGGATCACATTGAACAAGGTTTTCATGAATAGCCGGCACTCTCCACCATATGGTCAGAAATCTTGGGGAAAGTTTCTTCTGTCCTCTCTTTCTTTCTCTGTTTTTTCCCTCTTTCCTTCCCTTTCCTTCCTTTCCTGAGCTCATGCACAGAAAAATTTCAAATTGAGTTTTTTTCCTTTTACACATTCTTTATAGGCGTGTGCCAAAATTCATTTATTATTGAAACTTGATTTAATACTTTAATTGCTTTTTCTTTTTTTTTTTTTCTTTTACCTTTTTGCCATTTTTATCTACTAGACTTTAAGTAAAAAAAATTGGTGTGGGGATCAGGAAACAGCTATAATCTGATTCATTTTGAATCTTTGAAACAGATATTCTCTGACTTGGAATAAATGAACCTTAGGTGGGAGACACTTTGTCTAGCAGGATGAAATGATGAGACTGTTATGGAAGTGTATGTATTTTCTCCGCTTCATGTAACTGTGGGTGGATGAGTACAAACACTGGACTGCATGGTCAGAGCGTTCTAATTTCTGTAAAATCCATGATCTATTTTCCATAGGATGCCAACGGTCTTCCTTTATAAATTCTAACTTTGTCTCCCTAATTCTGTTTATAGAATTAAAATGATCACTTTCATTCCCTGGGAGCTTGTTGGTTTTTTTAGCTTCTGGAGCATCTCCCAGGTTCAGAAGAGTAAGCTTGAGGCTAAAGAGAGTTACCTGTAGCCTGGTTCCTGTAGAGAATAGATGTCTGCACTTTGGAGGGGAATGTCCTGAGCTGTCGGTCACTTTCCTTTCTTATAATCTCTTCGTCTTTTGTCAGGATATGAGGACTTTAGGTGCTGTGTGAGTCCATTGTGCCACTTCAGAATTGCCCTGCTGTCCCGTCTCTAGGTGAGGAAGTTGTCGGACAGGTGACAGTTGGGCAGCAAAATATGCTTTAGGGCCCCTAGGTGGCTCAGTCAGTTGAGTGTCCAACTCTTGATTTCAGCTCAGGTCATGATCCCAGGGTTGTGGGCCCCTCGTCCGGCTCTGTGCTGAGAGCATGGACCCTGCTTAGGAGTCTCTCTTTCCCTCCCTCTGGCCCTCCCCCCCCCCCAAAATAAAATTAAAATAAAATTTTTTTTTTTTCAACGTTTATTTATTTTTGGGACAGAGAGAGACAGAGCATGAACGGGGGAGGGTCAGAGAGAGAGGGAGACACAGAATTGGAAACAGGCTCCAGGCTCTGAGCCATCAGCCCAGAGCCCGACGCGGGGCTCGAACTCACGGACCGCGAGATCGTGACCTGGCTGAAGTCGGACGCTTAACCGACTGCGCCACCCAGGCACCCCAAAATAATTTTTAAAAAATGCTTCACTTGCTCTGTAAGTTACCTTAGGACATAATGAAAAGATCCCTTGGTCTCAGCTGCATTGTCCAGGAAGTGTGCCTGCTTGACCTGTTGCTGAATAATAGAGCAAGGCAAGGCTTTATATGGGGCATTGTCATGAGGCAACTTATTTAATGGGTTCCTCCTGTACAAATTCACTGTTAGGCAGAGAGGAAGGTTTTTGGTGTATCCAGATTTCTGGCTGTGGGGTATTTTTTCCTCTGTTACCAGCCACAGATCTGTAACTGCTTTCCAGGAGTGGGTGACAACTCTAGAATTTTCTTACATTGAATGTAATGGTAGCATTGGCTGAATTTATAAATATAATTGCTAGCTTTTATTTTTCTTTTAACTTTTTGACAATTTTAGACTTAAAAGTTGCAAGAATTCCCATGTATCTTTCACTCAGATTTCTTAAATGTTAATATTTGCTTTTGCTTTTTTTTACATATGTAAATATATGTGTATACATATGTATATACACACATGATTATGTGCTTGAGAGTAAATTGCAGTGATGCTTATTTTATTACGCATTTCCTAAAGACAGGGACAATTCTTAAATAACCCACAGTGCTATGATCAAAAAATCAGAAATTCACATTGATACAGTGCTGTTAGCTAACTTACAGCCTCTGTTCTTATTTGCCAGTTGTCCATATCATGTTCTTTATAGTAAAAGAAAATCCCAGGTCATGTGTTACATTTGGTTGTCATATCTTTTAAATCTGGAACAGTTGTTCAGTCTGTTTCATGACATTGACAGTTTTGAAACTTACTTATTTTGTAGTGTGTCCTTCTCTGGCTATTCTTTGATCAAGTTGTACTTCATGTTTGAGTGCTTTATTTTCCCAAAGTATTGAGCTCCCTAATGAAAAAGGGAATGAATAAGATCCCTTAGTGGAAGTAGGAGAGACACAGTGGCCAGTTCTACTCCACTGGGAACCCTAACAAAGTGGAGCGGACGTGATTGTGGCAGCTGGCTTGGAAGAATACTGCTAGATTCCAGTCTCTCCGTCAAGCACCCTGTTAGAGGTGATGCAGGTGCTCTGTGTTTCGTAATCTCCCACTGTTTTGTTATGTGTTCAAAGCTGTAGCTTAGTGACCGACAAAAGATGACAGTTTCTCTGGCATATGTATTATCTCTCCCCGCCCCCACTACCCCATACACGCAGGCATTTAAAATCTTATTTCATCGCAAACCCATTCGACTCTGCCTTTGCTTTCATAGTAGTGTCTCCGTGATAGAATACTCCTTTTCCTTAGTTCCCTTTCACTCATAGCCACATTTGAGAAATGAGAGCGCAGTGGCCAGGAGTGAGGCCTGCAGAGTCACTGTCTAGATCTGAGTCCCGCCCCTACGCTTCCCTGTTAGCTGTGGGACCTTGGACAAATGGCTCAGCCAGGCTGAGTCCACAACATACGCATTTTGTGACTTATTACTAACTAAAAGCGTGAAAAGAGTAAATCTCCCATTTATTGAGTACTTACTACGTGCCAGTCAGTGTTCTAAGTACTTTATAAAACATAATTGGTTGTGATGTGTCAGTTTTTCCAGAACTACTTTGATTCTTCAAATTCTTTAAGACAAGAAATAACACATGTAATGCTAGTGTTTCTAATTGAGATCTTTAATTTTTCTGTCCAGCAGATGGAAAGGTTAGCAGGTAGAAGTTTCCAGTCAGTACCATATCAGAGATCAGTGTTCTCCTTTGCTGATCCGTCATCTTTTTTTTAGGAATGGGATCTGTTGGGTAGTTTTACTGGCTTTGTGCTGATTTCAGATTTTAGATGTTGAGGAAATGGGAGTGGCAACAGGAAATGGGAGCCAGCAGCTGGGAAACAAGTTTGTAACTTGATGTCAGTGACCTGGTCTTCACTCGTGGAAGACACAATTACACAGAACTCTTTGGTAGAGCAGGTGTCTCACCATTTTGTTTCAGTTTTTCCATTTGTGAGTGCATGATATACAGCTGTTCAGAACTATAATGTGTTCCATTTGGCAGTTATCTAGAAAGCATTTTATTTTTAAAGTATGACATGGGTGTTCAAAATTTGTAAGTGCCCTAAATGTAGCTGCTTAAAGATCTGACACATATGCTATATGAGTCTGTATTTAACTTAGTCTTAAATGTTCTTAAGGGCAGGCCCCGTTTTATCTTGATATTTATTTCTTTTCTAATTTAGACATACTCATTTACATAACACCATGGTGTGCAAGATAGTGCAGCATCCACTTGATTAGCTGACATTGCTTTAAAATTTTATTTATTAACTTCAAAAGGAATCTCACTTCCGATTACTCTTGTGTATTTAAGCCAGTGAAGAAAAAGAAGATAAAACGAGAGGTTAAGATTCTGGAGAATCTTCGTGGTGGAACAAATATCATTAAGCTGATTGACACTGTGAAGGACCCTGTGGTAGGTGCCTGATGGTGGGGGGAGAAGGAGAAAGTGTGTGTGTGTGTGTGTGTGTGTGTGTGTGTGTGTGTGTGTGTGTGT